TTCATGAAAAAATCACAGCAATAAAAAGCAATGATATGTACATTCATAACTGTTGACTCGTCTACTTAGTCGTGACTCGTGGCACATGCTTTGAAGTCAGTAGTTAGTAGAACAGTACAGTAACAGTCATTAACCGCATAGAGAAGATACCATCACGAGAAGATATAAGATATACTGGTCCCACTTTATCGCATTTATCATCCTTAGTCTCGATCAACGAATGCTAAATAAATATCTACATATCCACATACAAACAGACAAACAAACAATTCTATAACCCGAGACTAAGAATCTTCTCGTCCACCACTAGACATTCGTTCTCACGTCTTTTCTCCTCATCCGGTCGTGACTCCTACGCGGGCATAGCTCACACACATCCACGTCCCATACAATACAATACAATACAACTAAAAGCCATATATACCGTAACCATCTGACCCACGAAGACACAGCCAAGCTTCAAAGTCCGACTTCAATTTTTCCTTATTTTTTTCTCCATCAAACATCTTTACTTGGGCCTTTGAGTCTCAATACAAACTTGTGTTGCTTTCTTACCTTGAACTACACAGTGGACATCATTTAAGAGCTTCTGTTGAGTATACTGGTTATATTAGCAAAAGCAAGTAATATAACCAAGTAACCAACAAACGGCATCTAAGTGAGTAAGTAAGTAAGTAAGGAATACAAGCTGCCAAAGGACGCACGACGAACGACAGACGACCGACGACGTTCACTTGTGGACTTACTGAGCGTAATACAGTACTCGCTTTCTCTCGTTTCATGACAGTAAGTCCATTCTACATACAATATTTACACTGGGCAAACATTAGTTTCTCGTTGTCGTACTTCGGATATACTATATACTACATATCTACCAGGGATTTATTAACATCAAGTCAACAAGAGACTCTCGTGCCAACTTTATTCCCCTTAGACCCCCGGAGTTGATGATAGTTTTAGCCATCAATTGGAGATGTTTATATTTATGTTCAAACTGTACAAATCTGTTGTATAATTTATGATATAGATATATCTGGCTTGATATGGTCATATATGATTTTTTTATCAAAAGCAGTGTTGAAAATATCCGAGAGAGGGCGCATGGTCGCTTAAATGTCTCGTTAGTAAAAAGTTAAATTGGAGATACTAACTAATAAGATATTAATTATTATTTTAAGAACTTTTTATTAATTTTAAAAAATATTAAGGTTATAATGTAGAAAGTTCTGATTGAAGAAAGTAGAAAGACAAATGTCACAATTTACAAACTTGCGAAAAATTAACTGATATGATTGTATAGATTTTCTATCAGTTACTAATTTATGATGAAGAACCACTAATTGAATTGATAAAAATTTTGAATTAATAAAAAACTAGCAATTTTGCAGTCACTATGTGAACTGAAAAAAAATTAAAATTTTGTTTTATTAAATAATAACTTTTGTTAAATTGCACTGTACTTTCTTAAATATTGACGTTTTTAAAGATATGAGCTCATCCCGATGTTACACTCATCGAGAGCTTTCGTTTGAGTACCCACATCCATTTTGATATATTTTTCATATATACATATATATAATACATATAAATATATGAAAAATCGATGTGGGTACTTAAATGAAAGGTCTTGATGAGTGTGACATCAGAATGGACTTATATTTAGAAAAATGTTAAAAATTAAGGAATGACTGTTACATCTTGTTAACTAGTGATGTTTTTAACGATATAAGCTCATCCCGATGTTAGACTCATCAAGAGCTTTCGTTTGAGTACCCACATGCATTTTGATATATTTTTCATATATTCATATAAATATATAAAATATATGAAAAATTGATGTGGGTACTCAAATGAAAGGTCTCGATGAGTGTAACATCGGGATGAGCTTGTATCTTTAAAACTGTCAATATTTCACAAGATAAAAGGTCATTTCTTAATTATGTATCTAGAGATGGAGCATTTTCGAATGAAGTCTAAATACTTATCATAATAAATTGAATATCGGTGAGAATGAAAGGAAACCTTGAAAAGGCACAAATTCAAGTCAAGACCTTTGCAATGACACTAAATTTCACTTTAAAAACCGATTTTATCATATGACTATCCTGGAAACAAAATTTTTCTTATTCTCTTAATAATATAGATAACAAATTTAAAAATAAAGCCTACGAACTTACTAATTTTTAATACGTTTATATTAAAACTACTCTACTAATAATATTAATGTGAAATTATTAAAATAATAAATTGAGGTCATCAATCAAAAAAAGTTTTAATTTCTAATCCCAACAGCCAATAAAACTTCCGGATTACAATATAACAGTACCCTCTAAAGATAAAAACAACAATGATGTTGACAATTTGGATCCTCAAGCTGCGAAAATCCCCTGGCGATTATTACAAAGCTAAAGTACGCGTGGGTCGATTGATACATCAGCAAAAAAACAAACAAAATATAATATTACATTTCAACGGGCTCTGTACTTGTATTAGTCATTTCATATTCGCATTCAGTTGATCATCGCAAATGCTACACAGAGTACACATACACACACACACACACACACACACACACACACACACACACACACACACACACACACACACACACACACACACACACACACACACACACACACACACACACACACACACACACACACACGCGCGTACCCACTCTATAACATACACTCTCACATCTTCACATTAATAAATTACCGTACTGGATTGAGACACGCTGTTACATAGGCTTTTTGATTAACTCGCTGATTAACTTACGCAATAAATTTATTTGCACTTCTGTTCTCTAATTGAATACTCTGGTACCCAAAATAAAAACTATATATACTATATTAATATACCGCACAACATTTAATATATCAAGGGTCGCGGACGTCGCCCAATAAAGATAAGTATCAAGTTAAAATATTGACAGGGCAAATATGATACATTTACATTTTAATAAAATAAAATTTAAAAAAAAAATAAAAATTAGCAGTAACCTAGATAGTAAATAAAAATCTTTAGAAACACTTCCAGGTTATGCGTACATCAGTAGGGTTAAAAAAAAAAAGAGACTGAAAATAAAGCTCGAGGGAAAATAACTAAACCGGGTGGGTCGTTTACGCGTGCGAGTATCTTTCATGCGAGATGAGACCGCTGAAAAGCGGCTAATTACGATCGCATCAACCGAGAAGTCTCCTCAGGCTCATCCTAAAAAAAGGGAAAAAATGTAAAAGTCTTTATATTATCTTTAAAAAATTAAAGATAGAGTACAAGTATGCGCGCTTCTCGTTCCTCGTTTCTCATTTACCACCGTCTTTTTATCCCAGATATTATAAACCATTCCTTAAGTTATTCTCCTTCTCTTCTTTCCTTCTTATTCGTACTTCCTACTTGTACATCGCGTTTCCATTATTCCTCATGTCACAATCCGTTCCTCATTTTCTCGGTGTCATTATTCATTAATGCCGTCGTAGGATGGGATTTCTTTTGAGTTTATACGATAATAAGCTTGCTCGAGTACATATATGTACTTCTGAATGTAAATATAAATATGAATAAATAAAATTGTTAGAATGGAAGTTATTTGTTGTTGTGATTTATTTTCAGGACGATAATTTATAAAATTATAGGATTAGATTGGATGATTGCATTGTATTATTTTATTATTGACTAGATTATTCTTTTCAATGTAAGTTTTGAAAAAAAAAATTTTTCAACATCTATATTATTAAGAGAATAAGAAAAATTTTGTTTCCAGGATAGCCATATGATAAAATCGGTTTTTTTAGTGTCATTGCAAAGGTCTTGACTTGAATTCGTGCCTTTTCAAGGTTTCATTTCATTCTCACCGATAGTCAATTTATTATGATAAGTACTTAGGCTGCATTTGAAAATTCTCTATCTCTAGATACATAATTAAGAAATGATCTTGTATCTTGTGAATTATTGACATTTTTAAAGATATAAGCTCATCCCGATGTTACACTCATCGAGACCTTTCATTTGAGTGCCCACATCAATTTTTCATATATTTTATATATTTATATATATGAATATATGATAAATATATCAAAATGCATGTGGGTACTCAAATGAAAGCTCTTGATGAGTGTAACATCGGGATGAGATTACATCTTTAAAAATATCAATAAGTAAGAAATGATCTTGTATTTGGTGAACTATTTACATTTTTAAAGATATAAACTCATCCCGATGTTACACTTTTCAAGACCTTTCATTTGAATACCCACATCAATTTTTCATATATTTTATATATTTATATATATGAATATATGAGATATATATATATCAAAATGCATGTGGGTACTCAAATAAAAGCTCTTGATGAGTGTAACATCGGGATGAGCTTATATCGTTAAAAACATCACTAGTTAACAAGATGCAAACAGTCATTCCTGAATTTTTAACATTTTTGAAAATATAAGTCCATTCTGATGTTACACTCATCGAGACCTTTCATTTGAGTACCCACATCAATTTTTCATATATTTATATATATTATATATATGTATACATGAAAAATATATCAAAATGCATGTGGGTACTCAAATGAAAGCTCTTGATGAGTGTAACATCGGGATGAGCTTATATTTTTAAAAACGTCAATGTTTAAGAAAGTACAGTACAATTTAACAAAACTCAATATTTAATAACGCAAAAGTATATATTTATAGTACACAAGTCGAGGCAGTCACATAGTGACTGCAAAGTTGCTAATAATTATTAATTTTAATGTATAATATTCCAATTAAAAACTTTTTTGAAATAATTTCCAAATTTTAACTTAATCATCAATTATTTATCGATATAACAGTAATTTGAATTTTTAACTCAAACTTTCTTATAAATAAACAATTTGCGATAAAACAAAAATCGTAAAGCAAAATACTTCTAGTTTTTTTTTTCCAGTGTTAATTTAATAACTAAATTAAAAAAAAAGATTAGTAAGATAAAATAAAATAATAAAATAAACAATGATAATGAAAATAAAAAGTAAATAGTTATTAAATGTTGAATGGAGGCATCAATTAAATAGCCCCCTATCACATAAATTATCGCATCAAGATGTTTCAGCATTATTATTGATTTATGTCTCTGAAAATTGTTGAGGGTCACTCTCAACAAGTCAAGACGTAATTGATGCGGTGAATTGGGGTGTGATTCACAGCTGAATATTAAGTAGTAATTACAGGCTGGCATGTGAAACAACGTCAACAAATAAAATTCATCGCGATAAATAAAAACCTCAAACTAAATTATCCTGACACGTTACGTATTATATTAAATATAATCATTTATAATTTATAATTTATAATACGTGCTCAAGCTGATATACAATAGTTATTGATACATCCAATAAATTATTCCATTAATTTCTAATCCACAATAACTTAGGCCCATAACCTGATGAAATAGTATACATGAAAATCTGGTAATCATTCTAGCAGACTCCGACGCAGACGCAGACACAGAAATTTCTCACCCCTATTAATTCGGACCCGTTATCTGTAATCCGCATTTCTCATTAATACTCACCTCTCATGACAGACTGTTGATTGATTCCATAAATCATTCAGTTAAACTCTAACATATTCGCTCTACCCACCTATTCAATGAATATCTATATAATCTTGCCCGTCTGAGCCTCAACTCTGACAATCACTCATTAATTATAATCTAACTTCCATTTGTCTTATTAAAAACAAAATAATCTTTCTGACCAACAGCAATAAAGTTTACCCCTGCAATTGTATTAATACAATATACAATTTATCAATTATATTTTTTTTACAGCGTGTGATTGTCATCTGATTGGAGCATCTGGAAAAACATGTAATCAAAGCACGGGTCAGTGCCCTTGCAAAGATGGTGTCACCGGTACCACCTGCAATAGGTGCGCCAGAGGTTATCAACAAAGCAGGTCCCATATTGCACCGTGTGTCAGTGAGTGGAAAATTTTTTTTTTGAGTGTTCAAAAACACGTATTAATTCCACTAACAAATTGTACGAAGTATTCACGCGGAAAAATTCATTTTGATAGATTTTTTGGAGGTACACTTTTGCAGTTTTACGTAAATTAAAAATTGTAAATTTTTTAAATTAAAATTCTAAATTTTTTATTTTTTTAAATTATTATTATTAAAAAACTTTTCAAGTGGGGTCAACAACATTTTGGGCCATAACTAGGTGAAAAATTAACATTGTCAATTTTTTTTTGATTCTGCTTATTAACAAATGGAGAGCCGGCTTTTTTGTCCGGTTATACTGCGAAAACTACTGAACTGATCGGAATAATACTTATATTATAAGATGCAGCGTGTTTCGAAGAAGGTTTTAGTATATGATATGGTGGTGACTTATCCGGAACCTATATTTTTTTGACTTAGAAATAATTAATTTTTATTGTAACTAAATTTATTTTATTCAATTGTCATTTTTTTAAAATAAATTTTTTAATTCTATTGGTTATGTATGAAAATGAAGTTAGCCGACATTTCAAAATTTTTAGGAATTTTTTATTGAAAAAATTTCAATTAAACATTAAAAAAAAAAATTCATATGTAAAAAACTTAAAAAACTATAACTGCAATTTTTTATAAATATCTTTTTAGTTGTAATTTAATTAATAAAAAAAATCAAAAATTTTTAGACGTCTGCTAACTTCAGTGTCATTGGTTATGTTTATATACTAGGCATATTTCTTCACTTATGAGACCTACAATTTCTTTAACTAAAACTTTCAATGCTCATTAAAAATTTTTTTTTCATATCAATTGTTATTCATTTTTGTAAGAAAGACACGGGAATGTTATAATAATTGCACATTGAAAGTTACAATGAATATTCGCTAGAATAATTCCATGAATAAAAGGTGCACGCCAATTCGATAGAATTGGGAATCTGTGCAAGTCAAAACAATACTCTAATTAAATTTCAAGTCTAGATCTAAAAATGCAATTTTATAAAGCGCCCAGCGGAGTGGGCGAGTAACAGCTAGTTTATGATAAAAAATGTTGTGAAAGAAAAAAATCAAGATTTCGATAGCTTTTTTGGCTTAAAAAAAATGAAAATAAAAATAGTTGACCCCACTTGTAATTATTTTACCAAATTTTCTATCAATAAAAATATTTGATTTCAAAAATTTTAATTTTAATTTCAGCCTCAGATAAAAAAAAAAGTATAGATGTTGTGACTCACCATAACCGCAAAATTCTCTTCATCCGAATTGATTGATAGATTTGATACCCCGAAGTGTAGAATCATTTTTCACTTATCCCGAAGTATGTAAAACTGCAAAAAACAAATGATACAAATATATTATCCACACGATCTTTAACATTCTGTCCACCAACACAAACTTTGATCATATACAAGCAACATATCACAATCATTAAGAAATTCAGCTTATAAAAATGCACACCCCGGCCGAACCTGAAGAATGAAGAATGCACACCACTATAAATATATCTGTGATTCTGGTTATACTCACAATAAAATCAAATGTATGATTAATTTGCATTCTGAGAGAAGGTATACATATACCGGTTAGCCAAAACGCGTTGCCAAAATACCAAACTGATAATTTATTTTCATTCGCACCAATAATCACACATTGGTGTGAGCCAATAAGTAACGTAAAGACATGTGTATGTATGTACGTAAGTGTATTTGTGTTAAATTTATCCAGACACACATTTATATGAAGCATAATATCTACTTTAGTGAAGCTGAAGGCAGTAAAGTTGTCGTGGTGTGATCTGGTGTGTCAGTATGGGTGCAAGCGTAATATACGATACTGGTTATTATTTATGCATACCTTATTTGGAGGAACGGACAACGATCAACTTACCAGCCGATAACTTATGCTTTACTTAATATACTTACTTGTATCTTATTCGTAATCATCTTCATCCGCTTTTTTGTGAACAACTTTTTAATAATTTATTTGATTTTTTCCGAAAGACTTTGAGAAAAAAAATAAAAAACATTTTTATCGCTACCGGCATGCCTTTATTTTTTATCATTTGAGAAATGAGCGAGCTAATTGACACTGCTTTGATTTTGTTACTTGTCGCCATTAATACTGATTGTCATTAAGGAAAATTAGCGAACAAAAAGATTAAATTAGTGTTATTTTTAAAAAATAATAAGCTCATTTTTGTTAAGTTGTTCACACGTGGGATAAGTGTTTGTTGCCTTTTATGTAAGGCTTAATATGGATCCGGAAAGTGTGGATCTGATTAAATTGCTGCGCTAAGTGTTTGTAGTTTGTAGTTTGTTTTTTTTTTCCTTTTTTTTGTAATATTTTGTTTTGTTTGTTTATTATTTGCCGGGATGCTTAGATGGATGCTCTTTTATTTTGCAGAAATTCCACAAGTGATTCAGACTCAGGGAATCGCGGGTGAAGATAATGGAGAACATGATTATGATGATGGGGAAGCCGACGATCGGGGTTACGATGGACGAGCTGGTAAGTTTATTAATAAAGAACATCAGTTTTTTAATGATCGTTAAAAGTTATGAATCCGGGTTTTTTTAAGGATTCATACTCGTTTTTTGGAAAAAACCGGGTTTAATAACTTGGAAGGGAGATTTGCTAAGAGTTTTTTTAATAATTGATGTACTGAGATTGTTGGGGTAATTACTTTTGAAAATTGAGAAGTGGAATTAGATACTGGGAAGTTTTAGACTAATATCAGTTTATGAAGGTAAATTGAATGAAGTTCAAATTAGAGATGTTCAAACTTTACGGTCAAATTAAAAAATATTAAGGTTACAATTTGGAAAGTTTAAATAAATTGATGTTACAAATATCTAAATTTATGAGCCCGTGAAAAAATGTTTTATGGCTGTATATAATTTTTAAACCAAAATAAGATTCAAATTTTAACAGCTCAATTTTATTTTCGTTGAAGTTACACAAATACAATTAGAAATTCGAAATCTTTAAATGCATCAAAATTAAAATTTGGAAAGTTTAAATGGATAAAAATGATGAATGTTCAAATTTATCAGTTTGAATTTGATGACTTTAAAAATATAAAAAATTGATCTAAATTAAAATCCATCAAGGTTCAAATTTTTATCTTTCAATTTCATCAAAATCAAAATTAAAATCAAAAGTTGATCAAATTTTTCTACTTCACATTCCCAAAACTACACAAAAAGAAAACTTGATTCAAGTAAATAATTTTGAAGAACTTCATCTTCTTGATTTGAGTAAAAAAATTCTTAAACTAAGAAATTTTTCCTGGTTTAAGTAAATTTTGCTTGATTCTTTAATTTTTCGTTTTAATTCAAGACAATGAAACTCTTCAAAATTATTTTCTTGGTTCAAGAATTGTTGTCTTGATTCAAGTTAAATTTTTTTTCAGTGTGCAAAATCACATTAATCCCTTCAAAAACCATCCCAGACTTTCTCAATATAACCAAACCCTCAATTCACTCTGCATCTGCCTCTCCAAATCCCATTTCCAAATTGAAACCTCCATCGCTCTCCCTAAAAAATTCACCATTTCAATAAAGCCCCGAATTATCGAATTAAGCAAAAAAAGCGAGTTGAAAAAGTACTTACACAATGATAACATCATAATCATAACCATTATCTAACACACAGTAAATAGTAAATGGAACAAGATAACGAGTCGAGTGGTGAGTATTGCGCTTTTAGTAACCCCCGGATGAATTCCGGGACCTCAACTCTCCCCATTCTGCTCCACTCTATCCTACACACATACTCAACATTCAACATTGAACATTCAACATTGAACTACACAATCCAGAGCGACGAGAGAGAGACAGACTGGTAATATCGCGAGGGGCCGATTTGGATCAACTTTAGCGTTGGTCGAACCCCACTCCAGGGTAGAAATTTAAGGGTGATATTAATTTAGCAAAAAGCCATGCAGGGTCGGACAGCCAGACTAGTCTAAAGGTGAACCGAGAGAAGGAAGAAAAAGAAAGTCAAGCTCGGAGCCTGAGGAAGGAATAAGAGGATAAGAGCTAGCTGGGAAATCGAGAAGAGAAGCTCTGAGCCTGAGCCTAGCTTCGCAAGATGAGAGTAGGTGAGTAGAAAACGTCTCGCCGCTGAGTCTCTCCAGGCTGGAGGCCTACCCCTAATGGCTTAATTAAAACCACCCTTGCACAACGGTACACGTTTATACCCTCGGCATCGGCTCTCTCTTCTCTGCATTTTCTACAATATATATATATATATACACACACATACATACATACACATAAGCACTTACAACAAAACACAATGTCGACTACAAGCAACATCGGCTATAATACGAAGTATCACCGCGAATATTCACGCGCGAGTACCTCTGGAAATATTCCCTCTTTAGAGGAAAAGCTCTTCCACACATTCTGTACATGTTTGCTAGCTAGTATGTTACGGAATAGTACACCTATTTTGTATTTACCATCGCAGTATGCCAGAGGAGATATTACTTGCTCGATTAATCACTCTATTACTTAGTAAGGCTTTACACTCTCTCTGGTTAACAATTAATTTACCTCATGTTCCGTTTGTCTGCGATTCAATGTTTTATTACGTTATTAATTTTACGGGCGGAGTTTGGATTTTGTAAGCTTGTGGTTGGAGGAAATTTTATGGTTATTGTTTGACGAATTGTGTAATGGAATATTTGTGAGTAGAAAAAATTTTATATAAAGTGTAAAAATTATTTTTTTAAATATTTATCCTTGAATTAAACAAAAAATTTCTTTAATCGATAAATTATTGAAACTAGCAACTTTGCAGTCAGTATGTGACTGCAGTGATTTGTGAACTATAAATTAATAAAATTGAGCTTTATTAAATAATGATTTTTGTTAAATTGCACTGTACTTACTTAAATATTGACGTTATTAAAGATATAAGCTCATCCCGATGTTACACTCATCAAGAGCTTTCATTTGAGTACCCACATGCATTTTGATATATTTTTCATATATACATATATATAAATATATGAAAAATTGATATGGGTACTTAAACGAAAGGTCTCAAAGAGTGTAACATCGGGATGAGCTTATATCTTTAAAAATGACAATAGTTCACCAGATACAAGGTCATTTCTTAATTATTGATATTTTTAAAGATGTAATCTCATCCTGATGTTACACTCATCAAGACCTTTTATTTGAATACTCACATCAATTTTTCATATATTTTATATATTTATATATATGAATATATGAAAAATATATAAAAATGCGTGTGAGTACTCAAATGAAAGCTCTTGATGAGTGTAACCTAAATACTTATAATAAATTGACTATTGGTGAAAATGATATGAAACCTTGAAAAGGCTTAAATTCAAATAAAGACCTTTGCAATGACACTAAATTTCACTAAAAAACCGATTTTATCATATGACTATTCTGGCCACAAATTTTTTCTTATTCTCTTAATAGTATAGATGATTTCTTGTATTTAAAATTTTTTGTTTTTAATTGAGTTACTTTTTTAATGTCAATTTATAGCAGAAAAAAATAAAAAATTTTAATGTAAAATTAAGGGATTTGGCTAACAAAAATTTACAATTATTAAGTATGAAGTAAAAATATTTTTAGCAGTGAGTGAAAATTATTAGATTGCAAATTTAAATAAATTTATGGATACAATAATTTCTACTTATGCAAATTAGAGACTTTTTACTTGTGACGATTATTTTTACTTATGCTAAGCGTTTGTACTTTTAGACCGTCATTTTTAGCTGGGACATTTTTTTAGTGAATAATAAATATTCAGAAGAGCTTTGTACTTTGACATGCAAAATTTTTTATGTGTCGTTGGATTTTTTTACACGCGGAACGCGAATTTGTTGAGTGCTCTATTAAAAAATTTTGATTATATTTGATGAAAAATTTTCTGCAATATTATTGACAAGTTTTTTTAATAAATAATGTAATAAAGCTTTCAACTAAAATAAAATTCAATAAAAAATTGTAAATTGAAAAAAAATAAAATTATAAATTTTAAAAAATACAAATGTGTTCTTGGAAAAACATGAATATTTAATGAACAAATATTTTCAGAGTATAGATAAAATTAAGTAAGGTGAACTGAGAAAGGGAGGCTTAGGCTGGGTGCATACTAATAAATAAAAAATCCGCGAAAGAATAGTTAATTTAAAAAATAAATTCAAATTAACCAGGAGTAAAAACGCGTATGTTATGCGGTAAACAGGTATACAAGGATACCTCGGATACCTCGGAGCAGATTCATGTCGTGTCACGGATCGCATCTATATGTTAATGCACCTTGAGCGCGCGTAACTCGTCGCGTGTACACGCGGTGGTGCACCCACGCGACGTCCGAAGTATAGAGATAACCCCTTTCCTATCCTCCAGCTTAACTTCTGGTTATTCGCGAGTAGAGAGGACACGCAGTGCCGGCTGACGAGTGCAGTGTAGAGAAAATAAGGTAAATAAAAATGAAAAGCATCCTCTCCCTCTGGTACGCAAATAATATAAATAAATAAAATAAAAAATATTATCGGCTACTAGTACACAGTCGCGTGGATGTAAGAGGCTTGTTGCTAAGTGATTTATAGGATTCATGATTCTGATATCGGTACATCGACATTACTCGATATTTTATTATATAAATTCTGGTACTATTAAACAACCCATAACTTTACATATTATTTTAAATTATTTTTATTATCATCAAAGCGCAATTATTTTAGCGATAACAAAATTATTCACAAGAATTGCAATTGTAGTTATCGTTAAAAAACAATTAACTGCTAACTTTGCTACTTAAATATTATTGCGATAAAAAAAATATTCAACAAAACAAAGATATTAGTTTTTATTTCAAATAAAAAATATTGTAAATATTAACTTAGAAATAATGAATTTTTATTGTAACTAAATTTATTCTATTCGATTGTCATTTGTTTAAAATAAAGTTTTTAATTCTATTGGTTATGTATGAAAATGAAGTTAGCCGACATTTCAAAATTTTTAGGAATTTTTTATTAAAAAAATTTCAATTAAACATTAAAAAAAAAAAATTCACATGTAAAAAACTTAAAAAACTATAACTGCAATTTTTTATAAATATTTTTTTAGTTGTAATTTAATTAATAAAAAAAATCAAAAATTTTTAGACGTCTGCTAACTTCAGTGTCATTGGTTATGTTTATATACTAGGCAGATTTCTTCACTTATGAGACCTGCAATTTCTTTAACTGAAACTTTCAATGCTCATTACAATTTTTTTTTTCATATTAATTATTATTAATTTTTGTAAGAAAGATACAGGAATGTTATAATGATTGCACGTTGAAAGTTACAATGAATATTAGCTAGAATAATTACATGGATAAAAGGTGCACGCCAATTCGATAGAATTGGAAAACTGTGCAAGTCAAAACAATACTCTAATTAAATTTCAAGTCTAGATTTAAAAATGCAATTATATAAGGCGTGTAATAAAAATTTGCAAATCAAAAAGGTTACCTTATTTTTTTTATTTTTAAAACGATAAATTGACTATCGACCAAAAAAATATTGAACAGTAAAAAAGAAAAAATTTCAGGTTACCACCTGTCTGATGATACCAAATTTAAGTATAGAAATCCATTTTATTCTATAAAATACGTCAGAAAGAAAATATTTCTTATTTTCTTAATTATATAAATGATAAAAATATAATTTTTGACTCAAATAAAATATTATTTTTTATTATTAATGTATATTGTCACTTTACAATAATAAAAATGTAAGATACATTAAAAAGTGGTCAGCAATTATTTTGCATCAGAACTTTTGGGTTGACATCTCTTAAGCACTGAACCTTCTTTACCAACACAACTTCCATTGCAGCAATTTTTATCTTCAGAACACTAGAAACAAAAAAGATACGAATAAATAAATATTTGGAATAAAAATACCTTCAAAGTAGTGATATTATAAAAAACAATAATAAGTCATACTAATCTATTATCTTCTTGACACTCCTCGTCCTCCACCTGCTCCTCCTGACCCTCCTCCTCTTCTTGCCCAGTTGAATTCATGATAACACTGGCCAGGATAACCATCGAAAAAATCAGCGGGATAAATTTTGACATTTTTATTTTAACAATTGAACCTTAAAATCGATTAAATAAAATTTTTTAAACAATTATTAAAACCGTGAAATCCTTTTAGGATTATTTTAAAATGTATAAAAATAATTTATTTAAAAAATAAATACTTACTTTCTTCTGGTTACAATTATAATTAAATCTTCTTGAAAAGTACGAAGTTTATGAAAGACAAACAGTGACTGACTTACTAGTCTTCGAGCCCGTATTTATACCTTACTTCTTATCAAAACGACCATGAGTTAAAAAGACATGGTAACAATATTTTGATAACAGTAATTATTATGACGTAAAAATTCACATTCCGTAATCTAATTCTTCCGTAATAATTCATCAGTAATAGTTACGTATTATTATTTTTTTACAATTTGGCGAATAATTTTTTTCGATAGCTGAATAATATTAATTATCGAAGACGAATAATTTTAACAGTGATAAAATGTATCCAGAATATTTGCAATTATGGTTATCATAAAAGCGAGTTATTTAATTATTAACCTTACTACTTGCATATTGCGATAAAAAAAATATTCAACAAAACAAACCGATCGTTTTTAACATTGAGTACACAGAAAAAAAATTTACTTGAATCAGGTAAATAATTTTGAAGAACTTCATCTTGATTTGATTGGAAAAATTCTTAAACTGAGCAATTTTTTTTGGTTAAAGTAAATTTTACTTGATTAAAAAAATTTTCGTCTTAATTCTACGTTGACAGACAATTTCATTTAATAGTAATAAAAAAGTTTATTTGGATTGGAAAAAAAAAAACTTAGTTAATATTAATAAAATTATATTTTATATAAATAAAATTATATTTTATATAAATAAAATTTTGTTAAATACTAATATGTGTTTATTAAAATAACCACAAGCGTCGTTTTCG